AAATATAACTGTCCTGCAAATCAAAATAGCTCAGGTCAGGAACCCCAAATTCGTCCCAGGATGCGTCAGACACCCAATTATAATACTAGAACCCCATCACACGTGTCCATACTTCATAGTAATCGTGAAGTTATGCGAATATTATTAGCACAGTCCGTTCTATAAATATTTTCGTACCAAATATAGGTTCTAGTGTGTGTGGCTATGCTCTGGTAGTATTTTGATTATTCTAAACAGGTAATCGTGGTTAACTTGTCTAAAGGTATTGGGACAAGGTTGGTCTGCTTCCTTAGAAGGTTGTTTCCTATGTTCGTTGTTTTTTTATACTTGATAGACTTGCAGTGAAATCTGATATTGTTTACTCGATATCTGATCTGATATTGAGACTAAATTATAATGTTTTCGGCTTACTCACGTTTGACGAGGAACTCGCGATTAGTTTCTAGAGGCTCATATTCATGGGCAGCAATCAGCATACCGCGACTCGCGACGCGACGACTGTCGCGCTGCTAATAACAGATATGGGAGTAAGCCGAAAACATAATAATTAATTTTGTATCAAGTTATTGCATTTAAGGTAAAGGTGTTTAAAACTGATCTCCACGAGTGAAGCGCTTAGGTACGAACAGAATGATATTATTGTTCATTGTATTCTGGTGTTTCCAAAATGCTTTTTTTGATCAATAACCCTTTAAATGTGCACTCTTTTCCTGTAAGAACACAATTTCGTATACATTATCATCCAGTCTATTAGTTTTCTCAGGCAATCGAGCGGTACATTGACCGCTGTAAGGGACACCAATGATACATCCCGACTGTCCCGACGGTCAATCCGTCCCCTATTTTCCAATACACTACGTTGCCGCGCACCCACGCAGTATATCCTTTTAGTTAATCGCCTTTCACATACCTATCCGGATGACTGAACTTTGCTTAGCTACGTACTTGGACAAAGGATGCCCATGTATCGAAAAGACAAGATAATGTATCATGGAACTTCTTGAATTTATCTTATGAATTGACACCATTTTTGTCAGTTCACAATTTAGCAATGTGCCATAAAAACCAAATTGTACCAAAATTTAATCTGTACAAGAGTTCACACGTGAAATATAACAAGCAAACACACTGCATTCATAATATGGAATACAAAACCAAATGAAATTGAAGAAATAATGTTCCTTATTAAATTAGGCGCTAATCTTGTTTTAGGCTTATTCGTAAAATTAACGTGGCCACAGAAATCTGAGCCAAGTACGAGGGTTACGAGATTAAAATTTCCACTGCCTTATTCCTCTGCTCGTTGTGAAACCAAAAGTACGTTCTTAATGGCTACTAATAAGGTTTCAGTGTAACCTGGATTCAAGTTTTCATGACCATTGTTTTCCCCGACTGTATTGTTTTGAAGAACAACTTTCTTCTTTGAGGTTTTGTTTCAACAAAGTTGTGAAGTATTTTCAGAAGGGAGAAGAATGTTCAAGAAAATGTATGTTACGAAACGTTCTTTTAATCTCTAGACAGCGAAAAAATAAGAATACTTCTAATGCTAGACGTAAATCGAAAACCGATTCTGGCATCCAAGGATTACTCTAGTTGCCGTGGAACTCATTTTTATCCATAATCTGTACCTATTGATAAGAAAGGACTAAGGGTCTAATACTAGCTAAATTGAACGCAGTTCGAGCTAAGTAGCAGTCAGCATCCATGTACCTATATGAAGTGCAGACATATTGTACGCTGCATATTGAACCTCTTTCTCAAGTCGCTGAAAAGGGCGCCTTGTGTGGAATAAGGAAACTTTATGACCTCTACGTGCTCGCGTTAAAATCCTTAAGCCTTGTATACTGAACAGAAAAATATGGGGTGCTCCATTCCCTGACACAAATTCTACGTAAATGGTGATAAAACTCAGGCTCCAACTCGTGTTCTATTAAAAATATATTTCGTGACGTAATCGTCTCGTCTCCGCTGCTCGGAAATGGGCCTTCAAATGTCACTCGGTATTTTCAATCTAAGGAAAAAGTAATATTAGCGACACTGACGCCTTCTCTAGATGTGTGCTAGGAATGACATGAATAAAGTAGAAGTAATTTATTTTTATTCAGTCCACGATTGGTACATTGAAGTAAATTCATCTCCTTCGCCTAACGTAGTAAAAAAAACGTATTTTCGATTTCCCATGTAATTCTCGTTGGATTACATCGTCAATGAACTGCGAAATTGTATCAGTAGTACCAAAACCATTTTACTCGCAGTCTCATCATAAATAAAATTAATACGTTTTCCTCTTGGGAGCTGCGAAACGATAATTCTTTATGGAAACAGTTCTTATTAGGCATTTTACAATACGGGAGTATCGATCGTTGTCGATGAACGAGCCAGTCTGTTTGGCGATTGTTGGAGCGAATCTCATTCATTCTCCGAACCTGGTTCCTGTTGTGTTGGTCTGCTTCTCACGTATTGTTCCGTGTGACCTACCCCTCTGTCGTCACATCCAGGTCTGCGTGCCCATTGCGTTTGGCAGCCGTGTCGAAAGTGGGCGCGGTAATGTGACTCTTCCGTTGCGATACCGCCGGTTATGATGCCCTCGTGGTTTGTCGAAAGTATTTAACGTTTGAGTGAAGGGCTAAATTGCTAAAGTATTTTAATAAGTCGTTTTGGAAAGTTTAATGCTTCCATTATACTCTAAATGTAGATAGTGCCATTATTTACTTCTACTTCTTACATGTTAAAATATTACTAGTAGCATATGTTCCAACTTAGAAATGAGTTGCTATAAATAAGGACGTATTTCGAAGTTTCCACAGTATGAATCTCTATATCATGTAAATTAGGTTTTCCAACATAGTTTGAGCTGGGTTACTAACAATAGATGTGTGGCACTATCTAGGACATACCGAAACAATAAACTTACAACGATCGATGTTTTATACTTTACGGTTATTAACCAAAAGAAAATATATATCAATACCTAGATTTGTAACAACTTTCAACATCAATTTCCTTCCTTAGCTAACGAATGAATCATAAATTCCGGGTCATAAAGTAGAATATACAATGCTTAAGTAGATTATAATTTACGTGTTCTAGACTCAGACCTATGACCTACCCTTAGACACGTGACCCAATCATTTGTCATTCAATAATTTACTACTATTTCTATATTTTGAGAACTTTAAAATAGCTTTAATAATACAGTAACCCGTCCACAGAGTTGTTAGTTATGTAAGTTATAAACTATTTTCGTATCAAATCAATAGAATGTCATAAAAGGTCACCGCAAGCCACCCGGTGTCGACTTTGTTGTACAGTTTAAATATGCACAGCGGGGTCTTTAATTAGATAAGAGTGTAGAGAGAAGAGGTTATATAAAACTATATTTTAACACCTATATTTTATACATAAATGTTTACTGAAATTTATTTACCCAGATATTTTATTCTTACCACTGTATATCTTACAATTTAAGCTCGTGTTTTGGTAATACAACAGACGTGGAAGGCGTAAAACGTATTGTGAAAACACGCCTAACAATATTGTCATAGATTTCTACCAAGGCCAATATAATCCTTATTATGATTTGTGTCGAAAATATATCGAACCTGTTCCATTCCAATGATTGGCTTCAACGGAGTTAACTCAAGCACAACATTGAGATTATCTTATAAACGCGTCGCGATCTCATCAAAGTATATTATAAGACAGGTTTAGGTAACCGACAGTAATCTATTTACTTCAACAGTATATAGCGTCTGTTCCATTTGGATAACAAAAATCGAAATGTATATTTTTATAAAATTTTGCGTAACATCCACCCACGCACCTACCTTATTAAAAAGGGTTGAAAAAAGGATTCAGAGTTCCCCTTTTGAAATATTGGTTTTATGTCCCGCTCCCTACGTATGTATGTACTTACGTCATGTATTGTCTTGTCAGAATGTACGCAATAGGAAATTGAACATTGATTTTTAGGTCACATATGAAGTGGGTTGCTATTAAAAAGTGATGGAGGAAAGAGAAACGTTTTGCATGTAAATTAACATGGCGTCATTCGCACGGTGCTGTGATTGGATTGGTTCCGTTGTGCATGGACTCCTCGTAATACAGGAACTGAAATATGCATTCATACCAGGGCAGACTAAATGAACAAGTTCGAAAGCTGGTGTTAATTTGGTTCTAGATTTCTGACATACGACAGATTTATGCTATGTGCATCGCATTTATCACATAAACACGTTCAGCCAAATTAAAGTAAGACACTGATTGAATGAAGTGCCTGATTTAGTTTAGAGCTAATGTTTCTTTCTCTGTAAACAAAGCAAGACAAACGAGCCCCAATGACAGTGTCAGCAAACTTCACGACAACACCCAAGATTGAATAAGGTCATTATGGACGCATTCTGATTGAATCAGCCATCTCATTGAGACATTAGTTTTCATTATCGTAATCATTACGTGCAATGTCATTGTTTAACAGAATTAACCCATAGAAACTGATATGAAGTATCGAGTTCAACTTGATCATAATAAATGGCCGGATTCTATTGAATTGAGAACAAACGGCCATAAACAAACGCAAATGATACCAGTTTATGTGTTTCTTGATAGCGTAGCGCCAACCTGATCGTAATCAATCTGTTTAATTCAATATTTTCATCGCTTTGTGACTGGGTAGGGGAATGAGGGTGATTCGAAAAACCTTAACATTTATTTCATAAGTTATTGGTTAACCTCCATTATTACATTATCATTTGATTGCGAGAAAGCGGAGCTTGTCCCCGCTTATATAAGTTTTTAAAGACATTTTAATTCAGACCGTCGTCATAGTCAGACGATGACAAATAATCTAATTTACTATATTACAAGGCTGTACTGTATGCAACATGTGTTGAGAATTTATCATGAAAACACTACTTATAGAGATTGTCAAATATTGATGCCATCTTTCGGAAGACATTAAGTTTCTACGATCAGTTCTTATATTATTTTCATTTGTTCACAGAAAGAAGATCGAATCCCTAGGCAGGATGACGGCGATGACGCAGGAGGAAATGGTGGCCGGTGCGCGCACCGTCGCCGCAGGCCTCGAGGCGCTGCGAGCTGAGCATGCACAGCTGCTGGCCGGGCTGGCTGCCAACACAGAACATGAACACGAGAAGGCAGCCCTCGTGAGGAAGAGCATTGATGCTATTGAACTCGGATTGGGTGAAGCGCAGGTTAGTTTATAACTTGATTTATTTGTCTTTGATGGTAAACGGTAGGACGACTATCAAAGAAACGACGGATGTTGTTTGAGGAATTATCAAATGAGGTGTGAGAAGGCAGGATATGATGAATTTGACTGTCCTATCAGTAGTAGTAACGGTCGCTAATTTTCATACAATGATGATTGATTTTAAAAGACGTACGTATGTCTTAAAATTTTCGTTACCTACAGTACCTAATCTAAAAGCATCAACAGTTTCCTAAACGCATTATTACACTGTATCTATCTACATATATTTCACCTTCTTCAAGTGGCAATCTCTTTCACGTCTACCCAATCTTTACTGTTTATCTCGGCCAAATCTCCACATAGGGTGAAGTATCTGCCTATATTTGGCACAGTAACAGCTTTTAGATAAACGAAATGTCTGCTTGTGTTCGAAGTGCTCGTTCTTTTAAGGGAATGACGTTAAGCTTAAGTAATCGCCGCTAATATATGTACGTTGGTGAACCAAACAATATTTGAAAACATCGGGATACATCTTTGCTTCAAACTAACTTTACTCGTCTCTGAGTTATCGATTAACCGACTTCAGTAGGTAAAGGATGTTATTCATCTTTAAATCAATTACTTACGATTTCGTGTTAACTCCCAATATTTGCAATTCATTTACTTAACCCGTAACCAAATACAAGCTTCGTTTTTATTGCGTTTTCCGTTGTATGAATTGCGGCAACACCTCTTTGTACTGAGTTTGCAAGTAAAATAGTACTATAGGTAGGTACCATTCACTCAACATACGTTTTCTTAACAAATTAGTAATACCAGCAAAAACATCAACCTACACCAAGTTAACAAAATTCTTTATTAAATTTTCAACCTAAGCTGTAATGAGTTAAGATTGGAAATCTGTAAAATTATTTCATAGCTTCGGTTAACTTTATATGCTGTCTGTAAATTAATACAGCAAATGCAATCCACGTGCAATTCTTCGTGTAAACAAACGTGATCGTACAGGCTTCAGATTGTAAACACATGTCTTAGCATGGCGTGAGGTCCTTGCGGTCTGTGGTATGTTACATCTGTTCAACGGATGTTGTTACATTAGGTACTGTACTATTCAATATACTGCCTCGTGATTAACAGCTCAGAGGGCTTAGTACGAGTTTTTTTTACGTTTAAAGTAAACGTAACGAGTACGCGTTCGGCGCTGTGATTGGCCGGCTCCAATGAACAAACCAATCAGAGCACTGAGTGCCAAGCACGAATAACTATCGCATTCGTAACGTAATAGTATCAAGCGCGTTCGGCGCTGTGATTGGCCGGCTCAAGTGAACCAACCAATCAGAACACTTAACTCGCTCGATACTGTTACGATACGAATGCGATAGTTATTCGTGCTTGGCCCTCAAAACGCCGTCTCGTTTCGATTACTTTAAACGAAAAAGAAACTCGTACTTTTCAAGTCTGAACTTCGAACCTGAAAGTCAACGTACGGTAATTAATTTTTACAAGAAATCTCCTAATTAGTTCTCCGTGAAAATTGCTAACGTTTATCTAGATAAGCGACACGCTTTAATGTAGGTAAGGTTGCACGCGAAGCTTGAGGTGAAGAACTATTGATCAAACGCTAGCGGCTTAGTAGCTAACTAACAAATAGATGATATTCTTTAATATTTTCTTCAAAGAACATGTTTTTCAGACAACGTTTGAGTTTGCTTTTGAAGAATTTAAACAACATTTTTCTTTTGATAAAATATTTTGCTTTTATCTCAAAACTTATGAAAAAGAGGTCGAGAGTTTAGTCATTGACCGGGACTGGTCTTTGAAAAATCCATATAAATGAAAAGGCTGGGTTCTGAGAGATTTAAAACAAACAGCCTCTGGGTAGCCTAGATTCGCTGAATGCCTTTAAGGACTCCCCGTTAGAGCATCATTTAGGTCACACCCAGCCCGCCTCGAGGGCTCCACTCTATAAAATAGAACACCTAACGTGTAAAAGGAAAGTTTAGAAACAAAATGTCGAAGAGCGCTTTCACAGTTTTGCTTTTAACGTTTTCAGTTCAATTTTGTGAAAGATCGCAATGCTTCACTGGCAAAGGAAAAATATTGGAATATTTTGTGTTTTGTATATTTGCTAAATAGGTTTGAGTTATTTTCATTCGTGCGTACGTACAAAGGATTTAAGCATAAAATAAATTGATCCCCAAATTACTTACAATTAACCTTTAGTTACATTGGACTTATTGACATGAAGTGATTACAATGATACCTTGAAGAAAAACCTTGAAATCAGATAAAAAATAGAGGTAATAAATAAAAGCAATAACATCTTGGGTTACAATAAAATGTACATGAAAATACAAGATTTCTTAGTTAATTCAGCTGTCTAAGTTCATTGTTCTTAATTGAATTCCAAATCCAGTTAGCTTTGTTAGCTTTATTTTAAAAGCAGTTTAATTACAAATATTTGTGTTAATTCTGATTGTAATCCGTAAAATGTTTGATTAAATAAATCTAGAAGTCGAAAGGCTTGAGATTGCAGATGCTCTAATTAGATTGAGATTATTATTAAATAATAAGTGAGGTGAAACGTTTTATTACTAAAATATATTAAACTGTCAAACACCAAGCGGTCACCGGTGACCGCGACCTATTGTTCTTTAATTGTGTCTATAAAACCGGTACTCGACGAGTTAAACTGATAAATTACACAACACTTTTACAAACTTCTCTGGAAAATAACCTTTCATCTCTCAGACAACATCTTCACTCTATTGAACATCAAATAAATAAAGATGAATAGAAAATACATAATGTATTCCACAATAGACAGCTTTATTGTTATCAGTGATCTCTTTCAAACAAACCAATTGCGTTCTATATACTGGTTTCTTTTGTACGGCTTATATAACAAAACAGGCTAGGCAGATACAATTGTACAGAAAAATTGGAGTTCCACGCCTCATCCGCTACAGTACCTAATTCCATTTAACGCATTCCATAAATAACTTGCATTAACCTTTAAACCGACGCCATATTGCCTCAGTTCCCGCCATTTTTACCTGTCATTTTTCATAAAACGCCACAGAGTAAAAATTAAGTTGCGTGAGTGAATCACGGGGCGGTACTCCATTCAGCCACAAAGGCACGCGACACCCTCTTGTGAGGTTGACGACGTTGAGATTTCTGCGTTGGAGTACGTTGAGAGGGTAGAACAAGTCTGGAGACGAGAGCGGTTTCATATATTATTGGTTGTTATGTAGCATTCGAGAACATTCAATTCAAAGTTAATTGGTCGGTGTTATTGTGAAGATCAAAAATTAAAGGGTAGATGTTGTATATGTTTATGTTATCTGTGGCAAGCTGGCCACTTTCAATAGGGAAACCTATTTATGTTCTTCTTTTGTTTTTGAAAAATATATGAATATGTTTCTGACCAGCTTGTTTAATTCACACGTTAAATAATTATTGCATTATATATTTAACATAATGCAATAATTAACATATAACACTAAATATATTAGATATGCTTAAATAAATGTATGTATATTAAATTTAAGTATATCCAGTGATTATTCTATTAATAATTACAATTAATATTTTTGTGTTCTTGTTGTCAAGACGATATCCAATTAGCAATGATAGTCTCCTCAAGATAAGAAGTTGTCTAATAACTTTGACCTACTTTGAAACTGCCATGATCAATTCCAAGGATTTTATGCCTGACGTTTTGAGTAGCAATGAAAGAAAAAGTTTGTCCCCATAATAAAATTCCGCTAAATAAGTAATGTGCTGTCTAACTTCGTTATTGTGTGTGGAACACAATCCTGATTGACTATGAAGGAAAATAATCAATCTGTATTAGAATTTAACGTAAAAAAAAATCTTGGCTACTTTGTTTTTGTCTGGTTTCCAGTTTGATAGAATTATAACTATTTTATCCTCTTACCTTTACGCGCGCTACTCAAACCTTCGGGAAAGCCTTCTTTAACCCGTCATGTGTTTAAACGTGGATCCACGCGAGACACAGTGTATTTTCTATTGTGTCTCATATACGGGCATTCAAGCGCTTAAACATTATACACTATACAAGCTGAAAACCTGTTCAGTAGTTTTTGAGTTCATTGCAAACACACAACATTATCACTAAATTAACTAAACATCGCGGGTTACTCTCGTGAATATACTGAGAAAAGCTCTACTAGTTTCGAACCACAGAGGGGTGCTTCCTCATGAGCATCGTGCGCGGTCACGGCGATGTCGCGCAGCCTACTGTTTGGTAATTTAGTATGTCTCAGTTATTATAAAAACATTACATACATTAACACTGTTAGTCAAGTCATCATTTGATTAAGAAATGTCGATTTATTCAGAATTTCTTCTGGTATTTGTACCACAAGACCGCACGTACTTGACAAAACGGCCTGATAGACGTGGGAACTTGTATGTTTGTTTTTCGACACAAAGGGATGCAGACATGACGCGACGGAACGTTCAGCCTTGGGGTGGCGGCACTCGCCAGTCTGTTTTGTGTTCATCTGTACCATAGGTATAATAATGTGGTTGCATCATGTTTGTAGTTAGGAAATGTTATTTGATGGGTGTTTTTATTTAATGACATGTTTTATTTTTTGTTGTTGTCTTTACTGTGGTCCACATCGTCATTCACCCATTTCATCAGATCGTCACGCGCGTCTTCCATAACTCATCCTGAAATTACAGAAATTATTAATAATTGTAGATATAACATTTCACAATTAGTAACTGAATATGAACGCATTAAATTTGAAACCGACCATAATTTAAAATGTCGACAACAGCGACGAGACAGTAGGACTAACGACTCTCATTAATCAGTAAAAGTTTATTTACGTCTGGATTACCTCTCCTGCCCTCCCCTCCGTACGTACCTCACATCTCCCCCTCCTAATGAAAAACTCAGCCTTTACAAAAAAATGTGTATAAATAAAGCTTGTCTGAGGGAATGAAAGCGATTTACGAGTGCTAAAGTTTGTACAGATTTACCCCCTACTAAGGGTTGAAAGTGTTTGTGAGTAGATGTTAGATGTGTTTGTCGATTTATGCATTTGTTCCAGCTGTGTGATAAATCTGTCTTTTGTGTGGGTAATGTTAGTTACTGGTAATGAGGTTCCACCGTAAAGTTATCGGAAAGGTTGAACAAAAGACGAAAGTAGAAGTCAGATGATTCTCTTGCCTATTTAAATCTTGATCATTTGGCTCTCCAAATCTCTATTAACTCGTTGAAAATCATCCCCTAAATTTGTTCATACAAAAGTAGCCTCTAAACATTGGAAATAGGGTCTATAATTAGTGGAGAGCGGTCACCGGTGACCGCTTGGGAATATATAGGAGATGCATCAATTGATTGGAATTAGATTATGAAATCAAGAAAGAAATACTATGTAAAACTTCGTAGCGTACTACTACATGGAATCTGGAGTATATTGATTTTACCATACAACATTCTCATCAAATGAATTCCCTTCCAGGTGATGATGGCGCTAGCCTCCCACTTACAATCAGTGGAGGCTGAGAAGCAGAAGCTACGCACGCAGGTGCGACGGCTGTGCCAGGAGAACGCGTGGCTGCGGGACGAGCTGGCGGCCGCGCAGCAACACCTGCAGGCCTCCGAGCAACGCGTGGCGCAGCTCGAGGAGGAGAACAAACACCTCGACTTTATGGCTTCCATACGGTAAGCACAACTTAACATTCTCTAGTCTTGGTTTCTTTTCTCGTTAACTTTTTGCTAATACTGGTTGCCGTTTAGAAGTCGTCTGTCGTCTTGATTTGACATTGATGACAAAATTGTAAACATAATAATATATAGCCAAATTACTAAAAATCGCGGGTTACTCACATGCATATATGTACTGAGAAAATCTCGACTAGCCTAGAGTAGACTGCGCGACATCGCCGCGGCCGCGCACGCTGCTCATGGGGTAGAACCCCTCTGTGGTTCGAAACTAGTAGAGCTTTTCTCAGTTTATTCACGTGAATAACCCATAATTTAGTATGTCTCACGATAGTTATTATAAAAAGATGATTTTCCACTTTGTAGTAAAGAACTCTACTGTGATTGTTTTAAACAGAACATTCTTTACACCCAGTTCACTGACCTTTTAACAATAAGCATTACGATTAAATACTTTTCATACTGTGTAGAAATCGTAAAAACAATTTACGCTTGGCCTGCCGCCAAACTGAAAATCTGTTTTCCCATTTAGGCTGGTGTGTGAAAAATTCGCGGTCTCATAAAATTGGTTTCATTTATAAATGGGGTGTTGTTGAAACCGTAAATGTCCGGTCACTGAAATAATACTATTGTTTTACATTCATTTTCGATAACAGCGACTGAAATACAATATTTACCGTAAACGGGTTTAAATTTTGCAGCACCATGTCCATAGTCAGTGTTATGTATATTAATGTTACACTTGTATTAAGCCGTGTTGTCAATAATTTATACCTTTACCAGAGGCGAAAATCGCATTATTTTTGTGAGTAAAGCACCTTTAATTGACAAGCACACATGAAGAGATTGATATATGTAAATGAAGTGAAAGAGGTACACCAGAATCATGTCATTTGGCGTTTCATAGTCTCTGAGGTATCCCACTAGGAAATAGTCGTCACGGTTATATGTCTGTATGTATCGATTTTATCATAAGTTTTTTTTTTGTCTGCCTCCTTGGCGGAGTTGTCGCAAGTGCGAATTCCGGCTATCTCGTGCCGGGTCTCGGGTTAGATTCCCGAATCGGGCAAAGTACTACTGGCTTTTTTTAAGTAATTTTCAATGGTAGCACGGAGTCTGGAAATTTGTCCGGTATATGGCAATAGGCTCACCCTCTATTGGGCATATGGGACTCATAACATAAATAGTGAAAATTGTAAGTACAGCGGCATTACGTGCCGTAATGTGCACCTCTGCTTACTCCTTCGGGGATAAAAGTCGTGATGTTATGTATGTTGTTTTGTTTGGTTTCAGCAAGTACGACAGCGATATAACGGAGGAGTCGGACACGAACCGCAGCGGACAAAGTGAGAAGAAACGCGACGATCCCATGGTGGACCTGTTCCCTGACGACGACCATGACGACAACAGGAATAACAAATGTAAGTCATTCTTAAGAAAAGATTACTCAATACTTCTATGAGTGTCGCGGAGAACCTAACGGGTAACCGGGGCTCCGGCTCGACGTGCAGGAGAAGGAACGGGGTGGTTTTTAATCAGTAAGAGTCTGACACTCCCTCCCGCCTCACCCAGGCGGGAACAGTCATTCGATGATTTTCCCCCCTTAAAAAAAAAATACCCTTATGAGTAAACTCTGGTATAACTCTGTCGTAAATAAATATGCTTTTTGTTACATATCGCATTTCATAATTCGATAAGTTTTCTCAACCTGGGTATCGAACTCAAGAGAATCCTTTACCAGAAAATTATACTTTTGTTATTAATATTTTACGTAGAGCAGCTACTTGACAGGCTTTCTACTCGTACTCATACATGAGTGATTTTTTGTCATCTTATTTACTGAAGCAAATCAAGAATTATTTTACTATAATAAATAATATGGACGTTTTAACGACATATTGAATTGGGTACTTGCCTTCATCAAAAATGAATTATTTCGACTGTTGAATACAATATAATATTAAAAATTCTTTCCCTTTTCATTAATTGATTTTATGACCAACTTAATTTTAATATTTTCCTAACAATTTTTTTAGAAATAAATATGCTGTTGACCCTAAAAAAACATGACGTCACAATACACAATCTTGTACAAAATACAGTAGGCGCTTGCTAATCCGGCACCGGAAATTTTTCCTCTATGCCGGATTGTCGGAAATGCCGGATTATCGAATTAGTATAGGAAATAAGACTTCATATTTAATATAGTAAGTTGAATTTATTATAAAAATAAAATTACATAAATTAATTAAAATATTAATTAATTATGTATTAAAATTACATATTAGGTTCATCATTTGTGACGTTTTCAGCCGCAGAAGAGGAAGACAACGCTTTGACCAAATAATTGTCAATTTTCACTTGCTTCTTGCCATAGTAATTTTTTTTAATTATCATTTCTCTTAACTTTCTCAAATTCAGTAAAATGTCGTTACTAGCGTTATTCTCCTCTGCCCAGCGAATACTGACATCTATTGATTTCAGGCCATCTTCAGCCTTCACTGAAGGGCTCGTGGGACTAAGCAAGGTCATTTCCAAATCATCTTGTTCAGAGCTAGAAACAGCATCATTTATTATTTCTTCATCGGTCATTGCAGGAAAAGAATCCGAGTTTTCCGCAAACCATTCCTCAACATCTTGTTCAGTCAACTCTGTCTGATTTTTTTGGAACAACATTTGCTTTAGTTCTGCAAGAGGTAATTCATCTTCTGATTCCCACTCTTCTTCTTCCTCAGGATTTTGGTTTAGTGAAGGCCATAATTTTTTCCAGGACGATTGAATCGCTTTTTGAGGCACCATGTTCCACGCTTCAGTTACGTTAAAGACCGCATCTTTAAGGTTCATGTCTTTCAGTGTTTTAGTGGCATCATCATCCCGAATAACAGCATTCAATAACAGTTTCTTCTTGTAGTTACATTTTATCATCTGAATTACATTTTGGTCCATAGGTTGAAGTAACGGTGTGCAATTAGGTGGCCTAAAAAGTGTTTGAATCTTACCATCCCTAGATGATAACTCATCATTTGGTCCATGGGCACGGGCATTATCCAACAACAGAACAGCTTTAGGTGGAAGATTCTTGCTTTTCAAAAATTTACGTACCGCAGGCACAAAATCATTGTGAAACCAGTCAACGAATAATTCTTTAGTTACCCATGCCTTGTTTTGATTTTTATACACAAGTGGAAGATTAACATTTTTGAAAGCTCTAGGATTCTTCGCTTTTCCAATAAACAGCAGTTTAAGTTTATGAGTGCCACTAGCATTTGCACAGGGCATAATAGTGACCCTGTCTTTTGACACTTTCCTGCCTGGAGCTTCTGACTCCTTTCTATAAACATAAGTTTTGTTAGGTAAAACTCTCCAAAACAGGCCGCTTTCGTCAGCGTTATAAACTTGGTCTGGTGTTAAACCAAGATCGTCAACTTTTTTCTTAAACTTCTCGACAAATGGAGCGACGGCTGATGTGTCACTGGATAATTTTTCGCCGGTTATAGTCAACAAACGTATTCCATATCTTGACTTGAAATTCTGGAACCACCCATCACTAGCTTTGAAGTTGGCATTCTTGTATATTTTTTCATAAAAAGTTAAAGCTTTTTGACGAATAATATCTCCAGTAAGAGGCGTATGACGAGCTCGTTCTTGAAGAAACCACGTATACAACGCGTCCTCCATAACAGGATACTCTCCAATCTTCACAGTCTGTCGTGAACTCGTCCCGGCGTCAGCAGTGTTGGCGAAGTTTTCAATCTTCTCACGATTCTTTTTTATATCATAAATTGTTGCACGGCCTACACCATATTCACCAGCCAACTTCATCTGATTTTCACCACTATCCAACTTTCGCAAAATTTCCATCTTTTTAACTAAACTCAATGTTTCGTGTTTACGTTTTTTGTCCGCCATTTTGTCAAAGCGACGCTGCGAGTTGTCAAAGCGACGCTGCGAGTAAAACAAACACGTGGCTTCACTATTGAGGTTAGGCCCGGACTGCCGAGCGAAAGAAACTACTCGAACAATTCAACCGCCGGCCGCGCCGCTCAGTAGTCCGGCGTTCAGCTGTGTAAAATGCCGGATTATAGAGCGGGCTGCCTGAGTCCCGAAGTGCCGGACTACTGAGCGTGCCGGATTGTCGAGCGCCGGATTATCGAGCGCCTACTGTACATAGAACAGTTTCGTTTTTGACATTTCAAAAAAAGCATTGAATTTGACTAGTTGGCAAGTACCCATTTATGACAGAGAATTTGTACCATGCCCTAACATATTTTCTACTCCAATAACCTAAATATAGTAGATAAGGTAATACGGTACCACATAAACAACAAGACCACGTGCTTAAGCCGGCACATTCTGTCACGTACCGTGTGTAGTATAGTGGTCCCTACTACTGCCTCTAACTCAGTTTTCTACATTATTAGCTTAAGTTTAGTCTTATGTGGGTATATTATTACGTTTATTATGTTAATACGAAAATAGGAAATGAAACAATGCATTATATAAAGGTATTAAAACACAAATAATAAAGTACAATTTCTTCAATAGACTTCATTTAATTACAAAATAATAAAGATAAACTTGTCATATTTTAGGCAGATTTATCATACTTTGCATATCACAGATATTATAGTACTAAGATTTCTTATACGCCAGCGGGATATTGCCAACGGCAGAGACAACTGCTGCCGTCGACATCTCAACGACAGTCGACAGCGACTGTCGCCGATACGTGTTGACGGGAGCAGTTGCCTCTTTCGTGGATCCTACATACATGTTATACATTCAAACTATTCATATCGATCACTGTAAATAACACACAAATACACTAATAAAAATATGTTGTACATATGTAGTTAATGGATAAGTGCAAATAATATGTATGGCTGTGTTGATGTTATAAGTTTTTATATTAAGTGACAACATTATCGCATTGGGTGTAACCTGTTAGGATGTGTTGTTGAATTAAATAAATAAAATAAATGTTTCTTTCCCAGCGATGTCCCCGACGCCTCCGCTGCACTTTGCCCAGCAAGTGAACGCGGGCTACGAGATCCCGGCGCGCCTGCGCACTCTGCACAACTTGGTGATACAGTACGCGTCGCAGGGCCGGTACGAGGTCGCCGTGCCGCTCTGTAAGCAGGCCCTGGAAGACCTGGAGAAGACCTCCGGACACGATCACCCTGATGTCGCTACTATGCTCAATATACTCGCTCTTGTATACAGGTGACTTGTGTTTTCATTGTAAATTAACTCCAAAAATATAGAGAGAACACATTTTCATTTATTTTATTTGAATTCGTATGATTGATATTTTTAATATTATCTATTTTGTCCTCAGACACAGCTTTAGATAGACATTATTAATTTCGCTAATTAAAAAGAATAGACTATGTTCACAATTGCCCTCTTTCCTTGAATAGTCTTCATGCCTAGTCCTGTATTTTATAAGGGCATTGTATAAAAGAAATTATGAAAAGTATCTTAGCTTTATCAAAAGAACTTAATACTAGAAGGCTGGAAAGTGTAACAACGTGTTGACTGTACCTTAACGATAACCTTATCAGTTTATTCAACTCACGATGAAGTAATCGCTAATCAGGGATCACAAAACTTATCGGAGAAATTGTGATTGGCTAATAATAATCAAGTTATTAAATGATTGCTTATGCTAAAGGAAATCCGAGTTCAGTCTTAGAAATGAGGAATATTTATGTTATTATTAAAACTTTTGATTTTCACTAGCTCTTTAGTTATATCTTTATACCTATCCCATACTTTTGGAGATAAAGGGGCCATACCTCTATTCCCGAGGTTTGTCCGTTAGCTTTCTAGTAGTTTTTGATATTTTATTATTTTTGTTTTTGATTACAGTTCCATTCACTTCAATAATTCACTTTCATGACATTCACTACATTATTAAGCGACATATAATGAGAATTTGTGACATACTCCACGCCTGAATCACTGTTTTCTAAAATACAAGCTTATAGCTTAGTTTGGAGGGCAGTGTCAGTATCGATCGTAATTCACACTCGTTCATGTAATTGCCGCAGTGAATGTAATATTGTGAAATTTTGTACAATAAACAATTTTTATTTTATTATTATATAGAAGGCAGCAGAGTGATTGTCAGAATTAATACGACCTTACATAATAGACTTAACATCTCGTAGTGATATAAGGAGGAACTAATTAATCGCTTCTTTTAGATTTAAAACGAGAAATTTATATTTGATAACCTTGATAAATGTTCATTTTGTACCTACTTCTGTCTCCAGAGACCAGAACAAGTACAAGGAGGCGGCCAACTTGCTGAACGATGCTCTGTCTATCCGCGAGAAGACGCTCGGAGAGAACCATCCCGCCGTCGCCGCCACGCTCAACAACCTCGCCGTGCTCTACGGCAAGCGAGGTCAGTATTTACTGCACATTAAACTGTCAAACACCAAGCGGTCACCGGTGACCGCGACCTATTGTTCTTTAATTGTGTCTATAAAACCGGTACTCGACGAGTTAATAATTTAAAACCGTGTAAAGGACTATAATATTTCTTACATATTATCCATGTACAAACATTCGTAAGTTGAACAATTTGAATCATTGATCTCACGTTTGATCACTGTTTTTATATTAATGGGGGAAATCCTTCACAAGCGCGTATTTTTTTAAGGAGAAAGACACGACAATGAGGCATTCTTACTTCACTAAAAACTGCTATCAGCACTTACATTGGGTCTTTTATTTACAAGCTAGAGATATGCCGTAAGAGGGTGTTACACCGTGGGAACTGTGAGTTTTGTATCTCAAGAGGATTCGGTGTTCCTGCAGGTGCGGATGATGGTCACTGGGTTGGTTTTAGTAAGATAAGAATTCCCATGCTCCCTAGTATTTCCCCACAAAAATAGGCAAATTTATATTGTACAGGCAAGTACCGCGAGGCCGAGCCGCTGTGCAAGCGCGCGCTGTGTATCCGCGAGGCCGTGCTGGGCCGGGACCACCCTGACGTCGCCAAGCAACTCAACAACCTCGCGCTGCTCTGTCAGAACCAGGTACTGTATATCATACAACTACTACCAATAACTGCTACTAAGAAAGGTTTAAAGCTCAGAAGGATGTTTCAAGTAGACAATCAGAATAATATAGTGTTATGAAAGTTATTATTCTTACCTTAGAATCTAGTTCTTCCAACGAACTGAGCTCCAAACACGTACTTTGTCCAAGCCGCTGCTTTCCTCAGCGTCCCTATTGGGTACTTTCCTTAATAAAAAATAAATTATTTCGACTTTCATTAAACTGTCGAAACACCGCGGGAACACCGGTGTCCGCACACCTATTGTTCTTTAATTGTGTCTATAATGACGGTACTCAAAGGTTTAATTGATTATATCACCATCTTTATTTTAGTATTTTTCTAGCAAATTTTTAACAAATAAGTACGCGGTTTGACGCTAAAAAAAACGTGACGTCATAATTCACAAAATCGTACAAAGTTCATAGAAAACTGTCGTTTTTGACAGTTCATAAAAAGTATTGAATTTGACTAGTTATCAAATACCGTATTACAGAGCCGCGCGTCCTATCTTCAAAAACTCGCTGAAAGGACAAAATACAGAGTTATTCAACATTAAAATACAAAACGATCGCATTCCTTACAGGTGTCATATATCTAACAATGCACTCGTTATCCGCAGAATAAATACGAGGAGGTGGAGCAGTACTACCAGCGCGCTCTGGAGATCTACGAGAGCAAACTCGGACCCGACGACCCCAACGTAGCCAAGACTAAGAACAATCTCGCCTCTTGCTATCTCAAACAGGTAACAAACAATATGAAAACATATGTATCTAGGAATATGGTTCAAAATAAAATGATTTATTTAAAGCGTCAAAAGTCACTGCTTTGCTGGTTTAGTATTACTGGACCCCTTAGAGACAGAATTTCAAAATACTACATTGGTTTTGTATCTGAAACTTGTTATGACGTTGTATTTAGTTTTCGGGACAGTCAAAAATTTTAAATATCTTAGGTCATACTTACATGTCATAGTTTGAATTTCGAACTCCACCGAGATCACAGTTAATCCTTGCTTGTCCGTTGGTCTCGTCTGGTTCTGAAAAGAAAATAACGTTTTGTGTCATTTTGGTAATTTCAGGGCAAGTACAAGGAAGCAGAAACGTTATACAAACAGGTGCTGACCCGGGCACACGAGCGGGAATTCGGAACTATCGACGGTAAGTCCAAATAAATATATGTCTATAACTTCGTATCTAAGCCTAATTAAAATATTTAGCAAATAGTTCAAATTGTTCTGTATAACGTGATGTTAAGAAAAAATACAGTTGGTCAGCGAGTGATATTGCTTAGGCATGCATCAAGTACTCTATTTGGAAGTAAAACTATTATTCTACTGTGTGATAGGACCTTTTTATTTTTATAAACATTCTAGAAATCTAATATGTTAAAATATTAAAACATCGCAGTAGAATAATAATTTGAAAGCTGTTCTTGAATAAGTTTTTAGTTATACCCGCATGAATATTATTTTTGAAAGTTTAAAGTTAATTTACTAGATAAATAATTTTAATTTGGATACATAACTTTGTCTTTTTCTATTTACCCGCCTATAAATTGACTTTATATTTTGTTTTACCATTTCAGAGTATATAGCATCATTAAAAAAACCTAATAAAAAATAACAAACAGCTGCACATAGTATATGACAATTTTAAGATAAACTAACAAAGTTGGCAGAAGATAATATACTACTCCAACATTCCTATAGCATAATATAAACTGTTGAAATGGTTCCCATTCTAATATATTTTATTTACCGAAAGAATGACAAAAAAAAAACAATATACACATTTTTGTATTTTACACAAACATGGTCTACAATGTTATCATGCATATAAATCTTCCTCTTGGATCCACTATCTATTAAAAAAACCGCATCAAAATCCGTTGCGCAGTTTTAAAGATACAGAAGCATACATCGGGACAGACAGCATAAATCAACTATTATAAACTATGTTGTGATTGAAAACTAAACCGACCATACAGTACAGTAACTTTAAGTACAGTGTTTTAAAACTACACAAATATGTGGCAACAAATATATTCCTTGTTTTTTGTCATTCTTTTGGTCCAATCGGTGAAAGGTTATCTAAATAATAATGAAACCAAAGCACAAAGTTCTGCTGAGTAACAATGTATTATGTTATAAGCTAATAAGGTTTATTTTTCTATACCATTTTTTTTAATGGAATGGCTCGAATGTGTAAATAGTAAACAAAAAAAAAAAACAAAAACATTGCATGTTTTAGTACTTGTTTATATGTTTTTTTTTTTATTTTATTTGCTATTATTTTGTTTTCTTGTAATTAATTTATTTGTAGATTTTATGAATTGAATTGTTCTTCAATTTTACTTAGTAAACATTCGATTTAATTCATAGGTAGTGGAGGCATGCAATTAGTTAGTGAACTTATTATTATTCGACGCAAAAATTATTTGATATACAATTTATATGAAATATTTTTATAGCAATTTAGTCCGGATTGTATTCAAATTTTTTGCGTCTAGTAAAAATAGATTTATAATTAGATATTTTTCTATGAATTTTTCTTTGTTGTATAGATCTCTTTATATGCATTTGTCTTAGACAATATTAGGTTATCTTGTAGACGCTTTATAAATCTATATCTTGCCATTAAAGAAATAAAAAAATGGTTACTACTAGTTTGTAAAGCTGAAAGCTTCTTGCGTGATAGGCATAATATATTAGTTACATAATTATGTATAACACACGGCCCGAATCATGGCTACATTTTTCATGCTGGCGGTAAATTCGCGCGTTGTCTATTTTATTTCTCTATTTTAGTTTCAATACAAATTCTTTTTTTGTATGCTTACATTGATTTCCTTACAAATAGACACGATTGAAACTAAAATAACCATAAATAAAATAATGAGAAAATACACAATGCACGAAATTACTCCTACTCCGAAATGTCTGAGTGCTTAGTGCGAGGTATTTTTACATTTACGCTATCGAAACCTTACTGCGTTTAACCCCTTGGTTGATTGGTTGACTTGGAACAGCCAATCAGAGTGCTGAACGTCATAAATGTGTCGATCGCGTTTACGTAATGCAGGACTAGGCGCTCTGGCCATGTTTCGTGGCTGGGACTGTACATACATATGCCGGAATACTGAAACGTTACTCAATTTTAAGTCGTGCTCAAATATCGTGCCATCTCTGTCAGTTTACAAAGAATTTGTAGAGATAGAACTATACTTAAGCACCACTTAAAATTGAGTGGCGTTTCAGTATTCCGACAATAGTTTAGTTTCTTGACTGTGAATGTCATAATTCACAGTATCAAGGATTGTTTTCATCCAATTTGACAATCTCTGTTGCCTTTGCTGAGTACCAAGGGAATTTCGACGATTGGATAATTTCCATAGGTTCTTTTACTTGCCTTACAATGCTTTATTAGTTATATTTTTGTTTAATTATCACTTATTTGTCTATTTCGTCTTCCTTGACATGAATATGAATGTCAATGTTATTATTCTCTATCTATTCTCTGTGATTTAAAATTTAATGTAAGATAAAAAACATTTTTGTTGCAATAAAAATGCAACCTTAGTTCCGTGGAATAACTTCTAAAATCAAACACACAGAAACAAAATTCAAATAGCAAATTACAGGCATTAATGCAAAAGCCATTAAGACTATTTTAGACTACATTTTTGTCTTAAGAACTGAATTATTCATTTTATATATGCACAATTATTATTATATTTCATTTAAGTTTTGAGGAAAGTGAGCAATAAAATTGTGAATATTTTGTTGAACGATATAATATACTAAAGTTACTCATTTTCATACACATATACGCTTAGAAGATATACATAAATATCACATTAAGTATATGAATTTAAAATCAAAATAGAAGTTGATTTCTATAAAAAATTATATGCCAAATAAATGCCTGTTTACCAAATGTACGAGGCTCTGAATTATTATGTAGTGTGCAATAATTTTATAAACAATATATTTATTTATATTAAATGAAAATCTTAAATTGTTTTGTTTATTTTGTCATATTATGTTGAGTGTAGGGAGAATAAGAAGTACATAGATCTAGTAAAGTAAATTATTACACTTAAAGAAAATTTGTATATTGTATAAATGCGCGCACCTACGATATAGGAGTATATTCTAGAAGTGGAGCAACGTCTTATATAAACGAAATGGAAAAGACCTTTGCCCAGCAGCATTTACTAAATGGTTATGATAATGAACTACGTCAAATATGAAGCTCACTGTCTAACTGGGCAACAGAGCTTAACCGATAATTTCGATTAGCAAATTAGTACTTAATATTTCAAAAAGAGAACTTAAATCTTCAATAGTACCTCCTTATTGTCTCTACACTCCTCCCACCCCTGTAATACCTCAGCAGCAACTAAATATGCCTGTCAAGTTGATGCGTTGACAAGATATTTGTACGAAAACATACCTTAGGTGAGTGACACAAGTTCGGATACTGTGTGGCACAGGTAGGAAAGGCAAAGAACATAATATTTTTTAATGTATTTTTTTTTAATTTATTTTTCTTTATGTTGGTTTTATTTGTAAACGTCTTTTGCCAGTGTGTCACACCTTCCCGACTTGTGTCACATTTTTATAGAATAAGTTTGGTTTTGGCTTATTATGTTATTAATATTAATATGGCTTTTTTATTTGTTTTTTTTTTATATTCTTCTCTTTCTTGATTGGCCTTCTAAGGTTTTGGGAATTAAAATATGTATCGAGTTTTAGGGCTTCAGAAATCTGAATTCTGTTTATACATAATTTTATTTGTTTTTAGCTCTGTATTTAAATTCGTTTTAAATATGTTTGCAGGCGACAACAAGCCCATCTGGCAGGTGGCCGAGGAACGCGAGGAGAACAAACACTTGCAGAAGGAAAACGCTCCGTATGGAGAATATGGAGGATGGCACAAGGCTGCCAAGGTCAGTTTATCTTCTCTTATAGTATAATAAAAGTGTATAAAGGGATATTTTTGAAGACGCAGCTGTGAAACGCGCTTTTGTATTAGGTAAAAATTGACGTAACCCATTAAGCCTCAAAGACATAAGATTTATTACTATTTATGTAGAATTTGGTGCATTGTGTTTTCATGTAATGACAAACTGTTAAAAAATCTATTTCAACTTATGTATCTAAATATAGTTATTACATACGAAAGCTATCCACACTACGTACGTGAAATTAGTATAGAATTAAAAAGCAGTTAAGAACATAAGAAGACTTACCTTTATAATGTGTTATGTCTCCAGGTGGACTCCCCTACAGTGACAACGACGCTGAAGAACCTGGGCGCCCTCTACCGGCGCCAGGGCAAGTACGAAGCCGCTGAGACGCTCGAAGACTGCGCGCTCCGCAGCCGGAAGGAGGTAAATATTGCAGACTGTAGATAAATAAAAAGAGATTTTATTACGGTAATAATAATAATAATGGGGAAATGTCGCCTACTCAATAATGAATCGACGTAAATTCATAATGGATGAAATGCATTTAAAGCTCTTATTTATTACGTCGACGAACAATAATATGTTATTTATAAAATTAGCGTCTGAATTTCTATGGTGCAATACTATGGAAAGAATGTGAAATAGTGTTTCTTATATGGATTAAAAAAATAGCAATGCTTCGAGTTAGATGCGATTTTATGAGATACAACAAATAGTATTGTGGAAACTACTAAGTAAGGTTCTATTTTTTTCTTTTAATTCTTAAGCTGTCCGGTTCCTAAGTAGGCGACATACTTGAATGGAGTACTAATATATGGGTTTTAATCAAGTTGTTAATTCTTTTACACATTTCAACACTGTGTTAGTTTGTATGCACGAGAGCTATCAAAGTATTTCAGGATTTGTGATTTAACTTGGTTACACTTCAGTGAATAATGTAGCACTTTTTATTCTAGAATGGGTTTTATTTTTATAATATTTAGTAATTAGTAACTTCTAAGGAAGCTATATTTTATCTAATAAATATTTATTTATACGTTTTTCTTACCTTCACGATTTTATTATGCTTACAACACGCACACATGTAACGGACATACACATTGACTAGTCTATGCAGTCATTTACTAGATAATGTGGGAATTATTTCACTTCTTAGTCCGTTACATAAATATATATTTATGAAGTAAAGTTTTATAACATTTAGCACAATTTAACGTACAAATAATTCATTTTGCACGCTGCCTAGCACGTACAGCAAGTAAGTCACGAACAAAAGCTAATTAACAAGTAATCGCTTACAAAATTGAAGATTTTTCAGGTGGCTGATAATTGGCGAAATGATTTTTTTTTTCAAAATTATTAAAATTTCAATGAGTTGTATAGGAAATTCGTTACGTATGTTTAAAGAAACGACATTTTTTTTTCTTACAAATAGGAAATTGCTCCTATATGAAATTGTTATCGAATTTTAAAATGTTTATTCAATCCGTTTCCAAATAGATGTTGGTATAAAAAAATAAATTATTGTTATTGTTTTCGATGTGAGAGAAACGTAGTACAACTTTAAAATTAAAAACCTGAGCTAATAGACATTGGCACGTGTAGGCTTTGGACATCGTGAAGCAGTCGCGGGCTCGAGGCGGTCGGCACGGCAGCCGCGACGCCATGGAGCCTCACCAAGACCACCACGACGAGGTCAGCCTCAGCGGCCCACTACCTGCCTCGTAGGCACCGGCCTTGCTTTACATGCTTACCGCCGTACTCAGACTCATTTAATTACTTAACCCAGTCCTTAACAATTGATTCCAGAGTGCCAAGCACGAATAACTATCGCATTCGTAACGTAATAGTATCGAGCGCGTTCTTCGGCTCCAACGAACCAACCAATCAGAGCACCGAACGCGGTCTCGTTTCGATTACTTTAAACTTAAAACAACCTCGTACTATGCCCTCTGATTGGCCAGCTTCAGTGAACCAACCAATCAGAGCGCGATAGTTATTCGTGCTTGGCACTCTGAACAAAATCGTTACTAAGGAATAGTTTAAGTATTCATGGAATGTCTCTGAGTACAGCAGTTACTCACTGGGCTGGGGTAGGGGGCACGGATTGGAATACTGCACTTTGATATCGCGATGTTTTGTTCTTGTGGTTGTCTTGTAATTGGCTCGCCTTTACTACGTCGTCGCTGACTGTTCGTGATATTTGGTCACCTGGTGACATTGCTTTTGCGTTCCAGATACGTAATGTATTATAGAAATTCGTGGTATATTTTGAGAAGGGATTCCTAAGTAAGAATGTTTCGCAAAAAGTTCGTTATAAAATAGTGTAAATGAACCTTCTCAAAATATAAGAGGAACTTGTATAATATGTTGTATAGTCCAAGTTTATGGTAGCTTTCATACTCATTTGGATTGGTCGTTCTCATTTCCTGCCTTAAGTACCTAATATTAAGCTACCAAAAACTCAAAATTATACATAGAAAAGATTTTTCGTTCAAAGGGTCAAATAATGCATGAAAATGTACAACTTCTGAGATAAAGCCACCTTCACTGATTGGTTGGGTTGAAGCACTGGGTTGTCACGTTGTATCGTCTCGCACATCACGCCATTTTCTGCAGCTTCATACTGCGCATGTCCGGCGAAGATTTTGCACTTAATCAACCTGCGGGAGATAGGATAGTCATTAGGAAAAGGATTAGGCAAATGATAATCTAGGTATATAATTATGGGCTGGTATAGATTACACCTGGATTGCTCATATTCACATATTTTTGGTCAACGATAAACGCAAAGACATTACCAAGCATTTGCGTTAATTAATATTCTTTTTCCATTATCAAAGAATTTATGGTTTTGTTTTATAAATATTCTAGTTCATAAATATTTTCAACATAACTCCAGATTCGAGTTTTCTTTACAATGTATGAAAAGTACAAAGTTATAACCAGGTTAAGGTTATGAAACGATTTTCACGGGTACCTTTGCTAGTCTTATTAAAATATCGATAGGATATTAGATATTATGTTCCCGGCCACCTTTCATTCGCTCATTCGACCCATACATGTTGTAACTCATTGGGCAGCGTTGCAAATACATACATCGAAGCTTTATCTACTCATTATTTCATACATTTTATGTTATGTCTTGTTTATGTATTGTTTATATTTTTGTTTGTTTTTATATTTATAAGTACTTTACACTTTATTTTTGGTGGGATTTTTCCTTGAACTACTTTTTATGTTTTATGTTATTGCACTTTAATGTTTAATATGAAAGTGTGGGTTTATCTTGATTTGAGTCATTCATAAAATTTACTTGACTCGTCAAGTACTGAATGAAGCTTTAACTTTTTATCTGACGGGCATATGAGACACAATAGTAAACACATTGTGTTTATGTTACGGCATAACATAACATCACGCTTTTTATCCCCGAAGGGGTAGGCAGAAGTGCTACGGCACACCATGGGTTAAATGTTATTATCGAACCAGTAGCGATTTATGAAATAAATTCCAAATAACTTTTGTGGTTCTAATAAAATACAGAGCTAACCTACATCAACAAGCTACTTTCTTTCTTTTGTGGTGGTTTATGTTAGTTTATGTGGGTAGACCAGCCTGTCCAGTCAAGATTGATTCCATCTTGACTGAAAATTAAATTCACTTTGGCAATAAAACTAAATACACCCACTTTCATAGCGCACACACGTTGGGGAAAACACACTTAACGTTCCTTTAGCTATTTACACACAAAAACACTTTATTATTTTATTGTTTGCACATTATATTATTTTGTTTTGTTTGTTTTTCCGTTATAGGGCGCGAACCAAGCGAGCGAACCACGCATGAACCTTAAGTCAAAGCTGTTCAATGCGCTAGGCATCAACACTGGGAGCAATCCGCCGCACCAGTAGCTACTAGCCACCAGCCACGTAGAAATACACTAGATATAAGTTGTCACTCGCTTCACGCACGTGGTCCTTGCAAACTGTCGCGGAGTGTGAGCAGTGGTCTTCGGAGATGTTAACTGGACTTTAATTGAGATTTATGCCAATTTTGATAGTAATAACCTTAATTACAACGTTTTAGGGAGAATAACGAATTATATCTTTATTTGTCAGTTCGATTTAATTTAGCTTTTGTTGATTAAACTGGCTGATACCTAAAAATGTCCCGTTAATTTGGTGCACCAGAAAACCATTGCCTACACCCCGCACAAGACTAATGTCCGCTCACTATAAAGGATCAAGTGCGTCACACACTTAAATTGCCGACATTTTGAATTTCTTGTTCAACAAAAATGCAATTTTTACAATGGCCCAAGCCATGATTTATTGATTAAGTTTTATTCAAATGAAAGCATTTTATCACAACAAGTTCAAAATGTTCGTGTAGTAGCTTAGTATTATTTATTAGCATGCGATATAATTTTAGTAAATATAAAAGATATTAAAAAAAATTAAAAAAAATATAAATTACAAATGAACGTGTGATAGGAGCATGCCAGTGAGCCGTCCCGCTGTAGTATACAATATTATAATTATGCATACATATAAAGTACCAAGACGGCGCGTGTATGCTGTTTTACATGGTGACGCAAGTCATTTGTTGCTGGAATACATTTTATATAACCAACTCATAAGTATTAAATCGATAATTATAATTTTAATGGTGCATGTTTCAGTGCTATCTAGTAAAACGTATTAAACTAACGTTGGTCATATAAAATGTATTAAAAATATATTATGAGAATTTATAAGCTGAATTTTGCATTTAATAAATCATTGAAATATTTATATAAATATCATTATCACATTTTTTTATTTTATTAATAATTAATTTGCGCATGTTTAAACAACGATTTTATTCGCTTACAATATCAATTTTAATTTACTGATTGTATGTTTATTGATGTGTCTTCTTTGTCAAGAAGAATGCATGAATGTGAATTTTACTATTGTGAGCGTCTGGCTTTACTCAACCTAGGGAAAGCGTAGTTTCAAACACAATCTTAGGGTATATCTAGTTTTAAATCATTCAATGTTGTAATATGTCTACCCATAACACAATATGGGAATGTACGCAACGTATATTTACGCGGGATAATTGCGAAAATTTATGTTATTAACATTATTTACAAGCGGTTGAGTCGAGCCGTGTCATCTGTTTACAAGTCATGTGTTGTCACCATCATCAGTAATTTTATGCTTAACTTTCATTCCAGTGTTAGCGTATATCGATCTAAGCTTTATGTGAGAGTAGGTAATATAATTATTATAATTATAGTATTTTTATATACACTGAATTTCTTTTAAACTATGGGGGTGCTTGAAATGTGGATTATTTTTATGTACATTAGATTACAATATCGGCATAACGTTAACAGTTTTTCAAAGAATCTCCCTCTAATAACCGCCACGTCACAGCATTGAGAATTATTTTTTTATTGTCTCGATACGTCGAATGATAATTATAAAAATTGTTAATAAATATAATTTATGTAACATTATTTTTGGTTTTATTTATTTTTATTTCGGATGAAGGTGAGTCTACAGTGTTATGCAATTTATAGCCCACGAACGCAAACATGACGCATGACAAACGAACGAACAGAATACACAAACACTTTGTTTATAACGGCTTTTGCTGTTAGAGTAGATGCATGGTGGCATCTCATTCACTGTTATTTAATGTTTTGTGAATCCCATTATATCACTTCTGTCCTACATACTAGTTACACTTCTCTGTCATGTAGTTTCATTTCCCGCCATATCTGTTTGATGTTCCTCTGACAAAGGTATTGGTTCATACAGCCTAATAACTAAACTCCTTTCTTTTTCAAAATAATAAAAAAAGACCCTATCAAAGTCTGGATAAAATCAGAATACAACTAACCATCAACAATATCTTCATATTATTTTGAACAAACTGGAGTGTAAATTGCATAACACGGGGGCAGGAATGCGCGGTGTCTCGCAGTGCCAGTTTCTCGAAACTGCGCGAGTCGTTGAGGCGGTCCTCCGCGCGACTGTTCAGTCGGCTCGCGGGCCGACACTCCGCCCACCTGCCAACCGACGTAGACTTCACTGACCCTGAAAGGTAACAACGCCACAATGCAGCCACCATGATGACAACTTATAAAAAACTACTAAACATACCAAAATTGAAAAGAATCCCTCTCAAAAATTGGGTAAAGAATGATCTACATGCCAATATTGTGATAGAATTGGACTCTAAATGTTTTTGTAAAATATCTTCGCAAGCTAAGCTCAATATGCTTGCTACTGCCTCCGCTTACAATTTGGCTTAATATTTTCCTCTGGTGTGTGGTATTTTATTCGAAAACTTGCAGAAATATGGATAAGGAGATATTTAATTACTATCAGGTAATTGTGATTTGTTATTTTGCACATTACAGTGTGTTGCACTGATGTCATCATTTGCAAACACTAGAAAAGTCAATAAGTATTAAAATAACCTAATAAAAATGCACTTGAATTTTTACTTGAATCTACATGTTGCCTGCAGATGTCGCTAATTTCCTCATTTTTAATTGTTTCATAATATCCAGTTTACTTTTCTTAATGTTCATTTCAGTTTAGTACCCCTTTTCTGTTCTCCAAATATGATTTACCTATGAGAAATAAATAAATTAACAAAAAACGCTTTAAGTCATGAAATACGTTTTAACAGCCCTATTGTGTTATTGAAAGCAAAATTAACAATTTAAATTAACTGTCATCTTGCTTTTTTCTGTACACGCATTGATGCTACGTTTTTCCTAACAGCATGAAGCGCGCAAGCTCCCTGTCCGCGCTCAGTAACTCGAGCCCGGCGAGCCCTCGCCACTCTCAGCCGCGGTAGCTGACAGCAGTCGGCAGAACTCAGACCATCATCAGATACACCACTATTACTTTCATCAGACTACTGGCGTTACAGTCATGACCTTTGCCCGGTCTCAAGTGACTGCATAAAAAAGGTGCGAGTTCCATGCTCTATGGTTAAAAAAAGTATGTAGATATTGATGTTGTTCTATTATGAAAATAAAAACAAATTTATGTCTACTAACTAGGTACAATGAGAAAAAGCGTATCAGAATTTGATTACAAGGAATTTTAAACACTTAGGATAATTAATTTATTAATATTCACGCATACTACGTACTAAATATGTACTTGCTATTTTAAGTTTACTGATCGCCACTACATAGTTGCTTTCAGACACGTCCGTTTATGATAGGTGCCGAAAAGTTTAAAATAGGAACTTTAATATTCGTGACTCTGGTAAATTATCTACCAAGCTGTAGAATAGGAGTTATAAACTACAGAATTTAAACTTCGATCAATTTAAAAAGAAGATTCTAGGCTTACACCAGCATGCTGCAAGTTTTATTTATTTCTAATTAAATTATAAAATATCATGAAGTAAAAAAAAGAATAGTTATACTACTATCTATGGTTGCATGCATATTATAAATAAACAATTTTACCGTTGCAATCATTAGAGTGGCTTTATTCTTAGATCCAGGACTTAGTAAGATACCTAGGCATAGTAACTTTTGATAAAAAGCGAGTGATATTGGCGGGAAAGTCTATGACCACATAGTTATAGAAAAGGAATTAAAAAAATAAAGAGAATGGGTATTACATAGATAATTAAGATCTTATTTTTAAGCAAGGTGTCTATTTAGCTTTATTTTTAATCAAAGCTTTTACTGAATTAGCATTTCGAATAAAATAGCTTAATTTTATTGATAAGTACCTGCTACGTTTACGTAAAAGTTGCTCTTGGATAGATAAAAAAAACACGTAAGCGTTGGTAAGCAAAAAAATAAAAAAAATAATATGAAGAAACTTTCGGCCAGCAACAGATGGAGGCAGAAGGTCGAAATAAAAAAAAATATCCAATGCTGTGTCTACAAACAATAGACATGGAGCATTTATAAAAAAATATGGTGCATACGAAACTTCCATCAAAACAAATCTATCTGACAGTGAACTCCAATTTTTATTTTCCTAATTAGATTTAAGTGTGCTTCGACTCTGTAACGTCATTGTCTAATGTGATAAACTTGAAAATGCAAGTACTACGGCTTATATAATTAATTTAATATTTTTATTGATGATCAGACTGTGTTAGCATGACAATCGTTTTGAAATAAAAATCATGTTGACAAGTATCAATTTGTTTCATTGCAGCAGCCCTATTTCATTAAGAATACTTATAAGATGTACGCATCTTAGTAATCAATACATAACATCACGCCTTTTATAGGCAGAGGTGCACATTACGGCACTTAATGCCACTGTACAATGTAACAACCACTTTTCACTATTTATGTTATAAGTCCCATGTAATAGGGGGTGAACCTATTGCCATATACCGGGCACATTTCCAGATTCCGTGCTCCTGCACATGTGCCATTTCCTCACATTAGTAAATGAGATTTATTTTAGAAAACCCAGTAATACTTTGCCCGACCCGGGAATCGAACCCGAGACGCCTTGCTCGGGAGACGCACTTGCGACCACTCGGCTAATGAGGCAGTCAATACTTTCAGTAATCAATACTTATCTAGTTTTTAATTTGCCTAGTCAGAAGTTCATGTTCTATATTGTTTTATCTCAAATTTCTGCATAAATAATACATAATTATTTTTCTAGATTCGTCGTGCCCTTGCAGGTACCCCCTACATTACTCTGGCAAACGAGGTTTTTCTGTTTTCTATATACCCAACCCTCGCACTTAGGGAATAATCTAAATAGATTTAGGTAGTTAACTACTTATTTAAGTACCTAGTAATATCACTACGTATATTGTTTAAGTTTTTTTTTAAAGAGCAGGCGGACGTATCACCTGATGGTAAGCAATCGGCGTCGCCCATGGACACTCCGAATATCCAGTGATACACTAG